TGATAGTTCCAGTTGCACCCATATTTGTAGCAACTGCCAACTTTTCTTTAGCAAATATGTATGCTCTGTGTGCATGTATCTTTGTGTGTTCATGATGCAGAATAACAATCAGAAATTTGTTGACATTTCTCGTTTTTTACTTTCCACAGTGTACAGGAAGCCATCCCCAAGCCAGGAATATGTACAGGGACAGTCATACAGACTGTTTACCACATATTTCTATTCAGTCTTTTTCCGATGATGTATTTTTCCTGACAGATCAGGGTCTCTGATGAATTGGTCCATAAATAATTTGATCACCTCTGTGTCTTAGTTATCCAAGATACTATATCCCGAGTCTGTTTTAACTGGCCTTTCCCTATCTTCAAACCACAGTGAAAATGCTCAGTGCTGTAGGCAGGCAGGTGCTACGTGGCAGGTGGGGGTCACAGATTCCACACCTGTGCACTGGAGGTTGTTATTGTGGCTCCCTCACAGAGTTGCAGGCATTAGTTTTTACTTGTCAGCTCTTGGAACATTGCCTAAAACGGTATGCATTCAGTAAACATGAGCTGCTGCTATCACTACTACTGTAATTATCATTGCATAGTGTATTTTCCTGCAGCAATGCTGAGCTAGTAGCACCTGAGTGGGCAGACCTAGAGATTGTGCCTCTAATCTGAGATTTCTATCCCTGAGCAGGGATGCTTGTGAATACCCTAGAATTAAGAGCAACTGGAGAGAGTACCTGATTTCTGGTCTGCTCCTGTCTCCTCATCTGCTTTCCTCCCCTCAGCACCCATCTCACAGAGGCTACAGGTCTGACCCTTGTGAAGGAGTGTCACCCAGATCGTTTCCCTAGAACATCTTTCCTCGCCTGAATTGCCCTGTATGATAACTTTGAAATCCTCAGATGGGTGACCTCTACAGCAGCTTGCTTACCTTTCAGAATGGCAGATGTAACTAGTTATGGTGATGTCGATAAGAAAAAGGCAATGCCTACCTCAAAGGATTGTTTGGATCAAATAGAAGAGTTGTGTATAATGCTAGCCTGATGGCCACCCTACTGTATCGTTGGTCCTCAGCGTCACCACCTCACATCTCTCCTTTCATTTCTTTATTGTGCACACAATTCTGGCCTTTTCTCTCATCTAGGCCATCACCATAGCTCTCTTACTGGTTTCCCTTGCCCTCGCCTTACCCCCCAATATATCCTGTATCTTGTTCCAAATGCTTCCTAGATTACAAAGTTCATGAATGAATACTTTTTAAAAGTCGATTTATCACATTATAATAGACTATGGATGGATTCTGAACTTTCTATTATAAAATATTTAAAGGTGATAGGGGAAAAAATTAAATACCTTTTAAATCAATGGACGAACTTGTAACAGTCAAAGAGAAATCTGGGGAGGCCAGATATAAATAAAACCTGAGTGCATATCCAGGGAGGGAAGCTACTCCTAGGGCTCTAATCTCCAAGGTGTTTCAGGATCGGGTGGCCAACCAGGGCTGGAAGTAAAACCACACAGCTCTCAGCACCAAAGGACAAAGAGTAAGTACACGAGGGAGCAGAGAAGACACACAGGGAAGGCAGTGAGGAGTCAGGGTGGAGCATGGGGACAGTTCTGGAGACAGCGGAGGAAGGGACACGATGGCTACAGGTTTTCCAAAATGATACACAGGAAGCCCAGCACCCTTACTTAGACACACCTTTAGACTTAGGGTAGACCTCCCTATAATACAGAAGAGGTAGTCAAATAATATCTGCATAAAAAATGTAATTGTCAACCTAGAATTTTTAAAATATATATATATATAAAATAAACAAAAGTAGAAAAAAATTTACCACCAGAAGATCCTTACTAAAGGGACTTCTCAGGATCTACTTCAAGAGATAATTGAAAAATGGTCTCTGAACAATAGTAGTTGGAGGCTTGGAAAGAAGTGATGAAGAAAGATAAAACAGGGTAAATCTAAGCAGTAACTGTTAATAAAAAATAATGTCTATTTCAGTAGCAGTTTTTAAAAAAGCTAAATTATGGTGTTATATAAGGTTGGAGGCAGATGACCAGAATTAAAACATTCCAAAGCCCTTTTAGTTTGGGAAAGGAGAACAATTGATTATTTTTGGATTTAAAGTAGACATACTAATTGCTTTGAAAGTGTGATGTAGATATTAAGTTGTGTCTTTAAGTTCTGTATGCGCTCTCTCATAATTGCCACCTGGCTGTTCATCAGAATGTGTCTACCAGCTCCCACCACCTCTGCAGTCAAAGCCTCTCAGATAAGCTGGTGACCACACCATGATCTTTTCCTTCCTTCCATCTTGTTCATTATGTGATTACAATTCCTTAGCCCAGTCTTATGTGCTTAATAAACACAAGTGCTGTGAAGTCAGTGGCTACACATTCCTCAGTCATGGTTCTGAGGAAAGGTGCTCTTCCTTCATGTGCGTCCAGCCCCTGTTCCACATGGTGGGCTTCATCCTGTACAGCAGCAGTAGCAGCCCTGAGGGTGTGGGGTGAAGTCCGAGCAGCTGGGCCTGCCACTGGAGAGCCCTCCCAGCCTGCTCTGGAGCTCAGTTGTCCCCTTTCCCTGAGTTCCACTGGTGTAAACCAGAGGTAATAATAGTAGGCCACCCTTAGTAGTATGGTAGGAGTTAAATGGATGAACATAAGTCAAAGCTCTTAGGGAACTGCCTCTATAGCACTCTAGTTGTGCATTGATGAGAATTTACTAATAAGTTATCTTGTTGGGAGGGCTTTAGGTGGCTTCATTGAAGTCCTAAATGATTAAATTGTAATTGACCGTGGACAAGATTAAATCTTATACTTCTGTGGGAGATGGGAGAGTAGAGGATGAGGTAGAAGGTGACTCAGTGGACGCTAGTCATTCGGGGGTAATGTTTAAGATCACAGTTCGATTGGAGAGCTCTTTGGAATCTGCTTCTAAAAGGCTTTGTATGCAATGAAAATAACTTACACCAGTATTTATTTTATTTTTTACTTCACAGGAAGCAAAAAAGATTTGTAGATCTTGGAACTGCAGGAGTCTCGAGATCCCACTAAACTGACGTCAGGGCTTCAAGGAGAGCTTTTAAATGGCAGGACCTCTTTGCTCCTATAGAGAACAAAATGGTTTCTCTCCAGTATTTCTCCAGTGCTTTGCCTAAAGTTATACAAATTACCCAATTTATGAAAATGAATCAGCTGAAGTCCTGAGAACTGAGTGACTGGTCAGGACTCTCCCAGCCAGGGCTTGGAGGGCGAGAGGATGGGTTTAGGACAAGGTGAGGCCTAGAAGGGGATGGAAACCAGCTAGCTGGTCTGTTTTCCAGGCTGCCACCTCCAGCTTATGCTGTCTCCTGTCCTGCGGAGTGACAGCCCCCATGGCACATGGTCACTTTTGTGTGCACGGTTCTCATGCAGGTGGTGCCTGAATTTGTCCTCTGTTGAACAATGCAGTGAGTATTTATTATAAGTTTGAGCTCTGCCTCTCTTTTAGTCTTTATTTATTTATTACAAAGGATATCATGGTGTGCCCCTCTCCACGCATACACTTTTTTTTTAAGCCACTTAGTAGAAACAGAAGGGATGGTATTTTATATTTCCCCTGAAACCCTGTGGAGCGGATGTTTTGCGGCCTTTCTTGCCAGGTGGATGTCTCAGTGTGGCGCTGGCAGGATCACTTGGGTCCTGTAGAGGAATATTCACCTCCTTTCCAAGCCTAAGTCAAAAGAAATTTAAAGAGTATGCTTTCAGAGAGTGATACACTTCCTACCTTGTCCAAGTTAAAGGTGCCCTGAAGCCAGCCAAATGTTTGACAAAGGAATATTAATAAACAAATGGTGTTGCCTATGTAGTTGGCTAATGCTTAGAAAAATGACATTCAGGTGGTAATGTTTTCCAGTGCCGATTTTAGTTTTATTAAAGGGTTAAGAATGTGTAATAAGCTGTTTTGCTAATCTATGCTGTCTCTAGGATAATTTGTATGAGTTTAAGTGAATAGGATAGTTCTACATTGTACACCAGAAAAATAAACAAAGGGAATATAAAGACTTCTGTAAAAATTAACTAATCTGGAGATTCTTTATGATAGTGCCTAATGTCTGCCTTGCACTATGCTAGATTCTATAAATTCTAAAGCTGAAGAATATAAGGGGAAATACTGGGGAGTGATATTGGCCGAATTATATTGTTATACTGTGTGTATGTGGAATATGTAACAATAGACCCCAACCTTATGTGCAATATTATAATGCACCAATAAAAAAAAATTAGAAGGGACTGGGGCTGTGGCTCAGTGGTAGCACACTTGCGTAGTATGTGTGAGGCACTGGGGTTCGGTTCTTAGCACCACATACAAATAAATTTTAAAAAAAAGATATATCAACAACTAAAAAATATTTTAAAAAATGGGGGAAAAAAATGAAGGAAGCCTTTCAAGTTATTCCCAGTCCAGCGAAAGACACTTAGACCAGAAAAGTGCTTTGCAGCAGAAATCTGCCCTAGTTGCCATAAGAGTGATAACAAAACTGTAATCTGATTGAGGGGGTATGGAAGAAATATGGGGGAGAGTTGCCCTCTCATAACCATGCCTTTCTCTTGGATTGATACCAATTGTCAATCTGTCTTTTTTGCTTTCTCAGTCTGAGTCACCTACACTGGAGGGCAGAGGGTTGAGACATGCTCCCTGGGTTCCTATTTTTAGTTTCTCCTATTCCCAGTTATGTGACCATAAGCAATTTACTTCTGTGTGCTTAGGCTTTGTTTTAAAAAAAGAGATTCCTAGAACCTACTTGCAGGATTAATTAAATATTTTGAGGATTAAATAAGACAACACTTGGGAAACATTTTAGAATACTGCCTGATATACACTAAAGTTCAAGAAAATTTTAGTTCTCAACATTGTTTTGATAGCTCATTAACTGGGAACATGGAAACGTAAGCACCAGGTTGATGTTTTATATTCTTCTGAAGTGTTGATTTCTTTCTAATATTTTTTTTTTCTTTTTCTAGCTCCAAGAGGAAAGCGAGGATGGAAAACCTTTTATGCTGTCCTGAAGGGAACAGTTCTTTACTTACAAAAGGTAAAAGTACAATGGATATAAAATAAAATCTACAAAACTTTATAAAATGATATTTAAACAAGGTACCCCAAAATTCTCACTTTGTACCAAAAAAGCCACATCAATCACCCATAAGACTATTTAACAGATGCTTAAATTCTGGGCGAGTTATGTGTAAATCATCTTCAGATACACATGAACAATGAGAGAGGAGTGGATGGGATTTGTTTTACTTCAGTAAGATCGGAACATAGGTTCCTAAGTTAGATCTCCAGTGATCTGTTCAGGAACAGACTTGCGGCAGCACCTGTCTGCATAGATATTTATGCTCTAGATTAGTTACAGCCTTCATTTGTATATTGTTCTTTCATTATCTTGATTTTGACCCTACTAAAAGCTGAACTTACACATTTCCACTGGATTCCTGAAATAGTTGTACTTTAACAGTGCAGATAGATTCCAAATTGCCTGGGTACATTTCCTGTGAGGATTCTTTCTTCTAGTCCCAAAGTCTGGATCTCTGGGATTCAGTTGATAGGTCCTGGCCCCTTTAGGGTTGTCCTTGGAGCTTCCATGTCCCTGGATCTGTGTGGGTGAAGATGGGAAAGTTGTGTGTTGGCTGGAAGGAGCACAACTTCCCAAACTCCAGAAGGATTCTAGCATCCACTGAAGGGACAGGCACTGGATTAGGAATAACAGGAAGCAAGACAGTTGCAACATTCCCTTCAGTGGTGCCAATAGGAAAAGACATTTTTATTATGGTGAAAAAAAAAAAAAAAAAACCACATAATATGAGAACTAGTCTCTTAAGTTTTTAAATGTGCAACACAGTATTGTTAACCATGAGCCCAATGCTGTACAGCATACCTAGAAAACTTTCTCATCTTAGGTTTATACCCAGTTTCCTTCCCCTTCAATCCTTGGCAACCACCATTCTACTTTGTTTCTTCAAGTTTGGCTGTTTTAGCCTTCTTGGCCTTCTTGACTGGCTTATCTCATTCAGCACAATGTCTTCAAGGCTCATCCATGTTGTAGCAGGTGTCGGAATCTTTTTCCTTTTTAATGCATAATATTACTTGATGTGTATATGCCACATTTTTCTGATGCATTCATTCATCAGTGTACATTTGAGTTATTCCCACCTTTTTGGTTCTTATGAATAATGCTGAATGAACATGGAGTACAAATATCTCTTCAAAATACTAAATTTATCTATTTTGGGTAAATATCCAAATTGTTGAATGGTGTGTTCCTTTTCTCATACTATTTTACAAAGTCCCTGTACCAGCTACATCCAGAACACACAGGTTCCATTTTCCCCACATCCTCACCAACACTTGTTATGTTTTGTTGTAAGAGCCATCCTAACAAGAATAAGGCGATATCTAGTTATAGTTTGGATTTGTTACTAGAAATGAAAAAAAACTCAAAAAAGTATTTTTCCCACTCTGTATTCTCAACACCCAATACAGAATCCTTCTGTGAGCCCAGATTCTCCAGCAGATACCAGCTAATTCAACTCAACTCTGACCCTGTTGACATTGAAATAGCTTCAGATCCCACAGATTGGGGATCAGCCCCCAAGTAGTGCCCCCTCATTGAAATACCATTTGCAAATAGTAGATTGTCACCTACACTTCCAACCAACAGCTATAAATCAGGAGTTCCCATGTCCACCTCAAGGTAGTTGGTCAGAGTTGCCCACAACACTCAGGACACCACTTTACTTACATTTACCCACTTACTATAAAGGATATTACAAAGGATACAGATGAATAGCCAAATAGGAGAGATGCACAGGACAGGATATGGGAGGATGTGGAGGTTCTCAGGTGCATCACATCGTAGGAATTTCCACCTGCCCAGCTGTCCAGAAGCTCTTCTGAACCCAGCTCTTGTTGGTTTTTATGGAATATTCATTTTCTAAGCACAGTTGATTGAATCACTGGTCCTTGGAGATCAATTCAACTTTTAGACCCTCCCAGTCAGCCTTCTCTAGTGAGGTTATGGGGTGAGGCTATAAGTCCTGATTTGATTTCTGAGCCACCAGTCTGTATTCTAGTGGTCTTTAGGGGTCACCAGCCATCAGTCATCACATTAACACATAATTATCAAGCTAGAGATTCCAAGAGTTTTAGGAGCTTTTGCCAGAAATCAAGTATAATGACCAAATAATATAAATCATACTATCACATTTGCATCTTCCTAATAATTAGTAATATCTTTTCAATACCTATCGGTTGTTGGTATGTCTTTAGAGGTATGTCTAAGTCCTTTCCTTTTTCAAGCTGTCTTTTTTCGTGTATATGTTTTTGCTTTTTGTTGTTCTTCCTTTGCAATTAAATTGTAGGTGTTCCTTCTATATTTTGAATTTGAATATTGACCACTTATTTAAATGTATTACAAATATTTTCTTCTATTTTTCAGGTTACCATTTCAGAAAGTTATTTTTTTTCCTTTACCATGTTGAAGAGTTTTCATTTAATATAGCCCCACTTACCTGTGTTTGCTTTTGTTTTATATTTGCCTATGTTTTTGGTAATCCAGAAATCATGACCAAGTTTAATCATTTAAATCATTACCAAGTTTTCCTCTGTTTTCTTATAGAAAATTTATGGTTTCATGTCTTAAGTATTTACATCTTTAACCATTTTAGTTAATTTTTGTGTTTGTATAAGATAGAGAGGGCTCTGCTTTCATTATTTTGCATGTGGATAAACGGGCTTCCCAACATCATTTTTTAAAGATGTTTTCCCCATTTTGTAGTGTTGGCCCCGTATTAAAGGTCATTTGACCATTTACATGTGGGATTTTCCTGGCCTGTCTCCTCCGGTGGCCCATCCGTATGACAACACCGTACTGTTTTGATGTTGTAATTTTATAATGTTTTGAAATCAGTAATGAAATCAGTCTTCTAGTATTACTCTTTCTCTAAATTGTTTTGACTATTCGAGGTCCTTTGTGATGCTATGTAGAATTTGGGATTGTTTCTTCTATTTCTATTAGAAAATGTTATTGGACTATAGATATAAATTGCATGGAATCTGTAGATTGCTTTGAATAGTGTGGAATTTTAATAATATTTAAGTCTTCTGATCCTCAAATATGGCACATCTTTCCATTTATCTTTTTCTTCTTTTATTCAGCAATGTTTTGAAGTTACCAGTGTGGAACTATTTTGTCTCCTTGGTCAAGTTTATTTCTAAATAAATTTCATACTTTCTGGCAGTATTATAAATCGGATTATTTTAATTTCCTTTTCAGACTTGTTTATTGTTAGAAATGCAGCTGGTTGTTATACATTGATTTTGTATCACAAAACTTTGCTGATTTATTCTAATAGCTTTTTTGTGTAATCTTTAGGCATATATATACATGATTGTGGCTAAGATCATGTCAAACTACTCCTACTTTGTTGCATGTATTAATCATGAAAGGATATTGAATTTTTCAAGGGCTTTCCCTGCATTTATTAAGATATTCATATGATTTTTAATCTTTTTTTCTATTAATGTGATGTATCACTTTGATTCATTTTTGTATGTTGGACTATCCTTCCATTCTAAGAATAAATCCCTCTTTGGATTTTATGTATGATCCTTTTAATATAAAGTTGAATTCAGTTTGCTTATTTTGGTTAGGATTTTTGCATCTATGTTCATCAAGAATATTGGTCAGTAAGTTTCTTCCTTCCTTTCTTTTCCCCCCTGCCTCCCATTTTTGGTATCAAGGTCATTCTGGCCTCAAAATCAGTTTGGAAGTGTTCCTTCTCTTCAGTTTCTGGAAGTGTTTCAGAAGGGCTGGCGTGAACTCTTTAGCTGTTTGGTAGAATTCAGTGGTGAAGCCATCTGGTCCTAGGCTTGACTTCCTTGGGAGATTTTCATTACTGATTCAGCCTCCTTACCGTTATAGATCTGTTCAGGTTTTGTATTTCTTTAATCTTGGTAGGTTGTGTTGTTTCCAGTAATTTAACCATTTCTTAACATTACCCAATTTGTGAGTGTATAATTGTTCATAGCAGTTTTCTCCTATCCTTTGGTTTCTGTGGCACCAGTAATTATTCATGGAGAGTTCATACTCCTGACATTTTGTTTCTTGTTTCCTTTTTGTCTTGGGTTTTACTACACAATTTGAGTATTCCTCTGTTTCACTGATTTTTTTTTTCCTTTTGTAATTTTGCTTTTTGAGTCTTCTCATTTTCTTTTACTTTCCATAGATATTTCCTTTGTGGTTACTATGGGCTTACATAAAATAGATGATAGTTTTCATGTATTTTAAGAGAATACCAGGGTAATTTCAGTTGTGTACTAAAACTACACTTTTATTCCACTACACACACACATACATACCATACTTTTGTTACTCAGTTGTCACAGATGACATCATTTTATATTGAGTTCCATTCATGTAGTTTTATAAGTATTTTATGTTTTCATTTTTCTGATTTCTATACCAAAATTGAGAGTGATTTGTATAACACTAGCATGGTATTAAAGTGTTATGTGCTTTTTCTGTGTATGTACCTTTACTGGTGAGCTTGATACTTTTGTGTTTCTGTTTAACATCCTTTTGTTTCAACTAGAAAAAAACTCACTTGTTGCAAGGCAGTTCTCCTGATAATATATTCCTTCAGGTTTTGTTTATCTGGGAAAAATCGGGATTTCATTTTTTGAAGGATGCCTTTTGCCAGATACAATATTCTTGTGGCAGTTTTTTTCTTTAAGCAGTCAAAATATATCACTAGGATTCCTTCTGGCCCTGCGCTGGTTTTGCTAAGAGATCCACTGACAGTCTCATGGGTTTGTAAGAAATCACTTTTGTTTTCTGCTTTCTTTGACTTTTCATAATTTGATCATAACGAGTTCTTCCTTCCTTTCTTTCCCCTTGTCTCCCATTTCTTTGACTTTTCATTAAAAAAAAAAAACTTTTCAAAAAAAAGTTTCTTTGACTTTTCATAATTTGATCATAACGAGTCTTGTTGTGATTTTTACATTCATACTATTTAGATTTAATTGGGCTTA